GGAAGAGAGAGAAGAAGAAGCAGAGGACAGTGGGAGACAGAGAGAGAAGCTAGTCTGTTCACAAACACACAGTATTCAGGTCTGTTCAGGTCTCTGAGCACAGATTATATATTAAAGACTGGAGGTGACTGACTAAACACACACAAGCATTATCACACACACACACACACACACACACACATTATCACACACACACACACACACATTATCACACACACACACACACAAGCATTATCACACACACACACACACACACACACACACACCACACACACACAAGCATTATCACACACACACACACACACACACACACACACACAAGCATTATCACACACACTTTAAGTTAAGAGGTGCATCTGTTGGGTCTCCCCTCTGATTGCCTAAAGGGACTGAGAGACGTTCAGCACAGAAACGTTGTGGAAACGTTGTTTAAACTCTGCAGGTGGACACTCACCTGTCCTCTGAAGCCCCGCCCCCTCTGCAGAGTCACCATGACACTACATGGATTAAACCACAGTAAACAAATTACAAAGTTAATATCCAGAAACCACCTAAGGGACGAATTAGACATCGGTAATGGAGCCTAAAAGGAACCTAAACAACAGAAAGTGTTTGTCCCTGAAAGCGTCACCAGAAAGTCTGATGTTTGAACCCGTCATGGTTTTTGATGTATTTAAGTTTTTTATTCTTAAAATCTGGAGCTTCAGATTGTGACTTTTTTACCGTGTTTTTAAGAAGAATAAGAAGTTAAAACATATCACAATAAAGAAACTGAACATTATGTGTTAGGTTTGATTCTAAATACTTAGTAAAAACGACCACGTCGGGTTCAAATCATCAGATTTTCTGTTTGCACAAGATTGGTTAAAACGCCCCCTCCACCTCAGCCAATCAGAGCCCTGCGTTTAAGAACCACCGACACATAAGGAGCGAAGACTTCAGGATTCAAAAGTTGGCGTTACTGTAGTTACGTATGGACGTTCTCTGTTTGTGTAAAATAAATCTAGTTTTTATAATCGTTTTTATAAACGTCTCGTTAACGGCACCGAGGAGGATTCTGGGTCCTCTCTCCCGTCCAGTCCTGCCATCACTCGCCTCTCAGTGGAGGTCGTGTTAGAAAGTGAGGAAGAGGAGGAGGAGGAGGAAGAGGAGCTCTGTGTGTTTGTCTCGTTCACACGCACAAAGATTATCATTTTTTATTTATGAAAGGAGATTCATCCGAACATTTCCGTCATCATTTCTAACCTGTAGACACCGGGTTATTACCACGGAGTGAGCGGTGCAGGGAGGACGTGTTTTTGTAGGCCGACCCTGAAGTAAGCATCACAAGGGCTCCATCCACAAAAAGCCAAAGGGGTTTTTCAGACAATAAGACCTGTGGTGAAAACACACATTTAAGATACTCTCTAGTTCAGCAGGATAATCTCCACCTTTAAAAACCACTTCATGATTTGTTTAAAGCGTAAATGCAATCTCCAGAAGTGAAGTGCTTCCAGGAACTACGTCACGTCAACAGCTCAACGCTCAACTATTATTAGCTACCGCCGTTTTATTCCTGCACCACTCACATTTGTACAAATTGGTCCCTGAACGCACCACATCTCGGTGGTCTCAGTAACTCTTCTTGACGTTAGGAGAAGCTTCATGTTGTAGCTTCACCTTCCTCATCTCCTTCTCCTCCTCTTCCTCACATCACCGTGTGAGTTCTCTCTTCAAGTCGATTAGTTGACTTTTCTTCATCACAGAAAGCAGTTATTTATATATATTTTTTTTGTCTCGTCCTCATGAGGTATTAAGAACCAGTTTGAGCTCCAGGAGTAACGGTCCAATCAGACGCCTCCTGGGGCCGGTTTTCAAACAAAAAAGCTGCCACCTGATTGGCCGAAAACATCCCGACCAGAGTTTTATTTCATCGTTGTGGTTTTAATTTAACTTTTTTAAACTGAAGGGATTTGTAACACGAGCGTCTCCATCACAAATCTTTATTTTTCTTTTCACCCACGCTACAACTTACTGTGTAACTAAAAGACGTTTGTTTTTGTTTGTGTAATGCATGATTAATACAATAAAAGTATTTTTTCTAGTCTTCCAGAAAAATGGAAAAAAAAAGATCAGTTTGCGAGTTTTGATGAGTTTTGTAATTTTTCTTTTTGATTTACAAACTATGAAACAGCAGATTTGAAAGATTGTACCACATAGCAGAATACAACTGTTGAAATGTATATAAAATGTCTATAATAACTATTAAATGGTGTACCTGTACAGAGGCTGCTGCTCCGCTCTTCATTCTGTGTCAAATAAAAGCTCAAGAATTCAGTTAGATATTTCATTGATCGTTTAATGACTTTTCTGACGTCCTTGGGACAGTGGCGTGGGCCTGGAGAGATGTAAGTGGGCCAGGGGAGACTTATTAAAGGTCCCATGTCATGGCCATTTCTACTGATCATAGTTCCATTGTTGAGGTCTACTAGAATATATTTACATTGTGCAATGTTCCAAACTCACATTGGTTTCTCATACAGCATCTCTGTATAGTATGTGTATTCACTCTCTGTCCTACACGGCTTGTTGGAGCTCCTGCCCCCCCCCCTCCCTGTGGGCCCAGTGGCCGTCTGGGAGTCGGCGAGACACCGCGGAACTCAGCCTGGACACACACACACCCGCAGCCTGGCCGGGAGTGTGTGTGTGTGTCCAGGCTGAGTTCCGCGCTGTCTCGCCGACCCCACACCAGTGAGCCAGCTAACAGTGTCCCGCTCCTCGCAGCAGCGAGCCTCGCAACGTCCCGCCGTGTGTGTGTGAGGAAGTCCGCGGATTGGTCCAAACATAACGGCTCTGCGGACGTAATTATGGAAATGACTTGGATGGTTTCATACTACATAGGCAAAAAAATGATTGATCACTACTTGAATTATCGCTTTTGTATTCCAATGTAAAGCATTCGTGGTCTTCCCGGGTCAATTTTGATTGAATTTCTGTCTCGACTTGTAACGTTTGATCTTCTAATCTTAAATATTGTCCAAAATATTCAAACTTTTTGTGTCAAAATGTGGATATATTTTGAGTTAATTAGTTCTATTGACCAAAAAGTGTAAAACTTGTATTGATGAGATGAAAGGTCTAACACAGGATTTTGTGATTTAAAAGAAACCCTAGAAAAACCAGACCAGTTCAACAAGCTGCATAATGCCACAAAACAAAGTTTATTAACATTAAAGGTGGGGTAGGTAATTCACTTCAGAAACACCTTTTGTTATATTCCATGGAATGCTCTTAACATCCTGATAGCAATGAATACATGAAATGCTTTGACAATAAATACATTTCATCTGTGGAAGCCGTGGCGCTGTAAAAAGCACGACCAATCATCTGAGCCGGCCCGGGTAAAATAACTGGATGGCCTACCTGCCTGTCAGCCTTCCATCTGGGCACAAATTTATCTGGTGCCCTCATTGGTCATGTGCGCGTTCGTGTGTGTTGGAGGAGGGGCTCTGTAAGGAAGTCTGAAGGAAGGGGAAGATTATTTTCGGCTGCGTATTTTCAAATTCTAGCGCACTCGAGCTGGTTTCTCCATTCTTACCTACCCCACCTTTAAGATTGTGCTGCATTTAGGCTATTGACACATATGTGAACACCTGCTCTGACTAATAACTTTGGGTCTGATTCATTATTTACTGGTTTGGACCCTTTTCCGATTCACTAAACAAAGGTGATGCTCCAAGAAATAGTATTTTATTATCCTAACCTGTGTGTTTGGTGAACCTGAATGATTATAAGATTTATTGGATAGAAATGAATCAAAAACGTATTCTAATACAAGAAACATGAAAGAGAGTTTGGAAAATGTGGTTGAACGCAGCTTTTAAGTATATAAGTAATACATTTAGAGAGACTTTGTAATATTTCAAGAAAGAGAACACGGTTATTAGAATGCATGACCACGTGATGATCAGAAAAGTAACACAGTTTTGATAAACAGTTTTTATATAATCTCAGTCTCTCACAGCGCGTGTTTGGCGACGTGGACGGCCTCGATGACGGTGTGTTTCCTCTCGTTGTCGGGGTGTTTCCTGTGGTGCTCGGGGGGGGTGGAGGTGGTGGGGGCGCGGTGCACGCTGAGCAGAGGGTGGGCCTCCTCCAGGTCGTGGTCAGTGAGTGTCATGGCGTCCAGGTGCTGCCTCAGCAGGACCCTCAGCTGCTGGTTCTCTCCCATCAGAGTGTCTCTGTTCCTCCTCAGAGCTTCTCTCTGCAGCAGCGAGGTGTTCATGCTCAGCGTCACGTGACACAGCGCTGACATTTCCTGCAGACACAGAGGTCAGTGAAGGCAACATTTCACCTTTTGATTCATCACTTTGTTTTTCAGAGGAAGTAAATCCACTCAAAATGTGTTTTTTCTTGATTATTCCAGTTGTTGAACTTTTGAAATGTATTTATGGATTATAGACTTTTGTTTAATGGAGAAACATTACATTACATGTCACTTGTTAAACGCTTTTATCCAAAGCGACTTACATACTTAATACTGTGGGCAATCAGTGTCTTTCCCAGGGACACAACGACATGCTGACTGCAGTGAGGTTTGAACCTGTACACCTACGCACAAGCCACTGCGCCACACGCCTCCAGAGAAACATCCAGAGAGACATCCAGAGAGACATCCAGAGAAACATCCAGAGAGACATCCAGAGAGACATCCAGAGAAACATCCAGAGAGACATCCACATAACCAATAATAAAGTCAGAACCCTACTTAGTATTCAAAGTAGAGCTGGGCAATATGGAGAAAGTCAAATATCCCAATATTTCCAGATACCTCAATTACCTTTATTGTGTTGTGATCATACTGTAGGCTTTACTATTGATACCTACAATCATCAGTAATGTCGATTTAATGACTGAGTGGATAAAGGGAAATGATAGAAATGTTGGAAAGGTTAAGATGGCTCTGAATCACATCCTACCTTCCCTGGTTCCTTCCCTGGTTCCTTCCCTGGTTCCTCAGCTCCAGTCTCCTCCTGCCTCTGTTCCTCAGCAGGGATCAGTGAAGAGATGGTCCTCTGCTCGCTCTCCATCTTACGACACATTTCAGCCACTCGTAAGACCTTCTGACCCTGGATCAGCACAGAAATCAGTATTGGGGAAACCATATCTCCCCACAGGGGGGAAATGTATGCAAAGGAGACGGTGCAGATACAAAAAAAAACATGTTTTGAAAGTGTCTATTGCACACGAGAAGCTTGAGTGCACACGAGAAGCTTGATTGCACACGAGAAGCTTGAGTGCACACGAGAAGCTTGAGTGCACACGAGAAGCTTGATTGCACACGAGAAGCTTGAGTGCACATCTTTTCAAGTTATGGGATAAGAATAGACAGCTGTGGACAGACAGGAAGTGAGACTGTTACCCTGGCGATGACCGCCTGCAGTTTCTTGACGGCTTGGTCGCTCTGCATGGTGACATCGGTCAGCTGTTTCCTCGCCACCGTCTGATTGGCTGTCAGATAGTCCCGCAGCACCTGAGTCTGGCTCCTCATGTGATCCCTGGCCTCCGTCAGCTCTCTCTCCACCGAGACGTTCTCCGTCCGGCTCGAGGTCAGCTGCACCCGGATGTTGATGACCATTTCCTGAGAGAGGAGGAGACCACCAACAGCTACAGTTATTCTATCAGAGCATGTATCAAAAGTAGGTAAACAAATCTTCACTTTATAAAAGAATAGGTAGAGTAACAATGTGAATACTGCTGAACACCAGGGCAAACTAATCCCTCACAGACTGAAGACAAACAGACAAAAAGAAAACAAATCAATACATAGAAAACCAGTCAGCTAAAACTAATGTCAATAATAAACAATAAATGTCAGTTCGGCAGCACCTCCTCCCCTCCACCCGTCTCCAAAATGCTAAATCAGGAATGATTGGGAACTTCATCCTCTTAACCCTTCGATGCACAAGTGGGTCTTGTTGGACCCGGTGAGGTGGTTTTCTTGAAGTATCTTTGTAATTACATTTTTTTATCATTTCATATTCCAGCTATTCCTCAAAGAACATGTTTTGGATATCATGCCATTCAAATTTTAAATTTACATTTTAAATGTTTGTATTTCTACCCCAAGCTTCATAAGTGGGTCAAAAATGGATCCTCTGGGAACCTTTGATTCTTATCACCTGTTGCTGTCAGGAATACATTCACTGTAGACCACACAGACGACATCACACGTGACACCTCTCAGGAAGATTATTTTACACAGCAAGATCTGATACCTGTCAGTATAATAATAATAATAATACATTATATTTGTGTAGGGCTTTTCAAGGACTCAAAACCGCTTTACAATATAAGGGAAGGTTAGGGTGGGGGGTATAGGACTATCAAACTTGATCAACCGGCATGGATTGATGGGGGGTGGGCTATGAGTAGACAAGAGGAGAAGAGATGAGTTTTGAAAAGGGACTGTAATACTGTGAGGGTCTCAGAATAGCGGAGATCTTTGCATCGATATGTTCAAAACTGTTTTTTCAAAATGAAAAAATATGTCTAAAATTATAAATAGTGAAAAAGTTCATATAAAATATTTCTAGAGTGAACCAAAATATAATACTAAATATTATACAAGTGATCTTTCTGAACCAAAATGACAAACATGGCATAAAAACACATATTCTAATACGGGTCCTTTTAGACCCACTTATGGAAGAGTGTAGGGTCCAGTCACTCGGGCATCTAAGGGTTCAAGTAGAAATCAGAAATCCCCCCCCACATAATATCTGTGTGTTCCTCCACCTGCAGCCTCTTCACGTTCCTCACGTCGTCCTTCAGGCCCTGCTTCATGCAGTGCAGGAAGGGCAGGCTGTCCTCCTCAGAGCCCACCTGCACTGCCTTCTGGTTCTTCCTCTTCATCTGGTCCAGCCGCTCAGCGTCCTCCAGGCCCAGAGACTGCAGCTGAGCACAGGCAGGAGGCATGGAGGAAAAACAGTATAATAGGGGACCTTTAAATATATACAAAAGACAATACAAATAAAAACCAAAACACTTAATACACTGAATAAATGACAACGTGCAGTGTGTTACAGAAATGCAGCTGTCTTTGATAATGACCATATTAACAGGTAACAGGACACTTAAAGGTGGGGTCGGTAATTCACTTCAGAAACACTTGTTATATTCCATGGAATGCTCTTAACATCCTGATAGCAATGAATACATTAAATGCTTTGACAATAAATACATAAATAAATATCATCTGTGGAAGCTGTAGTTCTGTGAAAAGCACGACCAATCATCTGAGCCGGCCCCGGCTAAAATAACTGGATGGCCTACCTGCCTGTCAGCCTTCCATCTGGGCACAAACTTATCTGGTGCCCTCATTGGTCATGTGTGCGTCCGTGTGTGTTGGAGGAGGGGCTCTGTGAGGAAGTCTGAAGGAAGGGGCAGATTTTTTTCCAGGTTGTGTATTTTCAAATTCTAGCGCACTCGAGCTGCTTTCTCCATTCTTACCTACCCTACCTTTAAGAGAAATATAAATCAGACAAATATTTCCATTTTAAATAGTTTTGTCCCCACAATAAGAAGATTTAGATTATTCAAACTTCCCATGTCAGAACTTGGATTTTGAATTTGTTTTCCAGCCTTAGAAAAGTGACCCTTGATCTTTATGCATGTTGGGGTTTTCCCTAGCGATGGGTATCGTTAAGGTTTTAACGGTACTACTACTCTTATCGATCCGGTCCTTTAACGGTACTCTTATCGGTTCTTTTGGAGAGAAAAAATAAGGTAAACTAACTAAACAAATTGTAAACAAAACTAACATTGCTTTTTATTTAAATGAAATACATAATATTTCACATCAAAAGAAACAACAGTGTTTTAACAAATGGTATTAAATAATGTGATGACAGAACTGTGAACAGAATAGCTGAAACTTTAACAAACTAAATAACTCAGTTCCCTCTAATCATTAACCCGTGTTTGAATCATTGAGTTAGCTCCGTGTGTTGCTGCTAGCATACATAACACCTACAGAGCTACTAGAGAGACAGTCGAACCCGGTGCATTCCTCCGTCTGAATGTGGAGCACTTGCTAAATGTTTAGACAAACTGCTCGTGTTACCGCCCTGACATGCTAAACTCTTATTGCACTTTAGGCAACGAGCGAGACGGGTAAAGTTTAACCACACCTCGGAGCGCGTTCTCTGCGCCATCTCCTCCGTGTGTGTGTGTGTGTGTGTGTGTGTGTGTGTGTGTGTGTGTGTGTGTGTG